TTGGTACCGTTTGTTGTGATTCTGAGATCAACTGTTTATGTGTAACTAGTTTTTTCATGTTTTATGGAGAAATGTTCTCAGGATATTAAAAAAATCATGTTTTGTTGTGTTCTTGTTTTCAGATTAACATTTGGAATTGAATTAGAATAAAATAAAATTGTATGAATGTTCCTTTATTTATTTATTTTTGCTTTTTTTCTTAATTTTCTAAAGACTGATATAGTGTTAACTTGAAAATGAATGCAATGAACTTAAATATACTAGGTGTAATTACTGCAAATTGATAAAACATTTTAAGTGAAATAAACTGAAATTTTTAAGTTCACAATACTTATTTTTTTTGTAGAGCTATCAGTTTCTTACGTTATTTAAGCAAATTCAACTTATCCAGGTTTACAGTGCATTATTAAAATCAGATTTCAAATTGTGGACTTCTAATTAAATGATCAAATTAAGATACTGGACTTACCAGACATCGTAACTTCTTTTTTGGTGTGGTGCCGTATGTGAGAATAATCCACAGGATGAAATGTCAGAGTTGTGTTCTGAAGGCTCCTTTATATCCTTCGAAGAGATGTTGATATCCCGTTAAGTCCTAAAGGTTACTTCAAGTGTTCAATCTCAACTAAGATGCTCTAATTTTTCTATTTATTTCTCAAAAACTGTTTCTTAGGAAGCATTTTTCCCTTTCACAGGAGACGAGCTGATACTCACATCTATGTTTCTGATTCCTGAAGGAGATGCAGAAGATGAGGATGTTGCTTTTATGTGGCTACAAGAAAGCAGAAGATTAGAGATGTTTGTTGGGGAAATTTGAAACAACCTAATGGTCACAAGATCCTCACTCGTGTTCAGTCTAAGACATCAACATGATCAAAACACCAAGAGTGAAACTAAGAATCATGTGGCCTAAAATCCTCCTCCTATATTTATGATATAAAGTCATGAGGCCATTTAATAGGAATTCTGGAACCCATTCCAAAATATATATGAATACTTTTGGTACATTTAGTGAGATTTTTTTTTAAACGACATTCTTACAATGGTTAAATGAATGTATATATAAATCTAAATAATACAAATCTAAATAATAATATAATAATAAATATAACAAAATAAATGAAGAAAATATATACAAAAACATTAGGCTAACAAAACAAGCTAACTTGTTTATTTAAGAGTAAATATAAATAAGAAATCAATATAAATTAATAAATTCATTATTTACAAATTGTTATATTTTATTTACATTTTTGAATTTTAAATTAATGATGGGAATTTTATTTATTTATTTATTTTTTGATACATGAGGTTTATAGTTCTATCCGAAGAAAGAACTTTGAACTTCATGTAGAAAAACCTGCCATACAGAAGTGATTTTTCAACATCGGAGGAAATATGTGTCACTGATGCGAGGCCACACATCATTCCATCATCATCATTTCCCAACCAGGCGCCGAGTGCTGCCAATCACAACACACACTGGCCCAGCTAACCAATCACTACACACACTGGCCCAGCTGACCAATCACTACACACAATGGCCCAGCTAACCAATCACTACACACACTGGCCCAGCTGACCAATCACAACACACACTGGCCCAGCTAACCAATCACAACACATTTAGTATTTCAGAACTCCTTCCCACTGGGTTTGTCCTGAAGATGCTGTAAACAAGCGTGTTTCTCACATGAGGAGCAGCCAGTTTCATTTCATCAACTATTTTTAAATGCAGGACATTAAAAAAACAAAAAAAAAAAAAACTAACATCTTGTGACATCATGACACTTCGTTTATAAACACTGATGTGGTGTATAAGAAAATATCATCTATAATCATACTAACTTTTAATGATAATCTATTGAAGGAAAAGAAAATGAGCATTCTGTCATTACTTCACCCTCATGTCTTTCTAAACCTGTATGACATTCTTTCTTTAGCAGAACACATTAAAAGATAGTTTAAAGAATGTTGGCAAACAGTTTCCGTTCACATTGACTTGCATTGTATTTTTCATCCATAAAAGTCAATGAGAACCGAAACTGTTTGGTTACCGACATGCTTCAGAATATCTTCTTATATGTTCCACAGAACAAAGAAAGACATACAGGTTTGGAACAACTTGAGGGCAAGTAAATAATGACAGAAGTGTCATTTTTTGGGATGGACTATACCTTTAACAAGTATTATTAAAACAATAATTCTCATAATCATGAGAATATATCTGAATATATATTCAATCTGACATTGAATTTCTAATATTCAGAATAGTTGTCAATGATTAGTTCTTAAAAATTTGCATTTGTTTCCCCAAATCTTGAACATTTGGTAACAAAGTTTAATGCAATATCTGTAAAGGATTAAAGTGTTCAAATTCTATTTAGACTGACCTTACTGTCAACAAGGTGGTCTAGCACAATGACGTATGAGGTTAAACGAGACACCTGTAAAACTGAAAAGAGCGTGAATCTGATCCGGCCTCCTTTCTGCTGTGTTCAGGACAGGAAGAAACACGTTTCTGTGTGAAGAATAAGAAGGAAAGGAATGCAAGACGAGATATAAAGTGTATTACAAAAGAATGTTATATAAGTTCAGCATTCATATTAAAATATGGTAAGCACAAGAACGGGAAGAAAATCCCAAATTAGTTTTTTTAATATCTCAGCAATTAAAACATTGTCTGCAATCAAACATAAGTGATTTCAATATAAACCCAAACATTTCTCATCTAATTCTTCCAAGTCCAATTTATGTATTTTATGATGAAAGATCAAGAATCTTTGTAAACTGTAAATGCCCAGTCTGTACATAGAGAGACATTCCACCCCCATTCCATTCCAAGTACAAACATTTTTCAGACAGAGCATGGAAAGTGTCCTTCTCAGTTTACAGTCTGTGTAAATGGCAGCGGTTTTCCACTGTGCCAATAAAAAAGAAAGAGGTGAAAATTCTTGTCCGCAAACTCAGCCTCAGGCTGTAATCAGTTTCATCACAGATCCACAGAAGCTGATGCATGTTTATGCTATTTCAATAAGAGTAAAGATGCCACCCATCAATGCCAATGAATGAGCCAAATGAATAGGATTTTAATGGGAAAATACAGAATAGGAACAAGATCCTAATTCTTAAATGAATATGCTACCCAAAAATTTTAATTTTTTCCAATATTTACTCAACCTCATGTTATTCCAAATATGTTGGATTTTCCCCCCGTGGAACACAGAAGGAGAAACTATGAAGAACCTTTAGGTAGTTATTTTCCATACAAGGACACAAAACATACACACACACTCATGTCTTGTCAGCTATCCTTGTGGGGACTCTCCATAGGCGTAATGGTTTTTATACTGTACAGACCGTATATTCTATTGCCCTACACCAACCCTACCCCTCACAGGAAACTTTCTGCATTTTTAGATTTTCAAAAAACTTAATTCTGTATGATTTATAAGCTTTTGTACTCGTGGGGACCTCAATTTAGGTCCCCACCGTGACACGAGTCCCCATGAGTCTGTGTGTATTCAGGTTTAAGTCCCAACCGGGATATATAAACCAGTACACAGACACACACAGGTTTGTTTTTATGGTTTATGGGGACTCTC